AGGTAAAGGATCGGCATACCCGTTCTGCGCCACTTCGATTACCTCCTTCCGGGATTACAGTTCTACAGCTCACACCGATTAATCGATTAATCGGTTAAGTTAACCGATTTTAAAATCGATTTTCATTTCAAAATCGATTCCCATCCCTATCATAGAGTTCCAATCTGGATAAATCCGTCATCCATTTATCCAGATATCTATTTACTATTAATATCCAGATAATCCGATAAATATTTGGATAATTTTCCGGATATCAATAGTAAAACGGATATCCGATAGAATTGGAACTCTAAATATCCATAAATTGTTAACGTTAAGCAATATAAATTTGTAACACATGTGATCATTTTGCTGTGTAATACAATGTGATTTAAATTCAGAGTATGCTTTAAGACCTTTACACTCCGAACAATTACCAGAACTTTTATAATTTATACTAAAATAATTATATTAAATCGTTTTGGAGCATCGATGCCTATAAAAACAGAAAACGAATGTAGCGAAAACAATAACAAACTCTTAGAAGAACGCCTTAGGCGTTATGAAGATGAATCAGGCCAAATTAGTAGTACGTCAACATTAATAGACAGAGTTTCATATTTACGACATAATAGAGAAAATGATGTGTCAAAGGCAATCAATAAAATTGAGGATTCAATGAGCTTTGATCTTTGCTTCGTTTTGGATTGTACAGCCTCTATGTCTCCTCATATCGAAGCAGCAAAAGTGCATATATTAAAAGTTGCTAGTTATGTAAACAGCAATAATTCAAATGCCAAATTCTGGATTGGTTTTTGTGGCTATCGTGATCACTTTAATGGTAGCAACCGCTTACAAATTTTTGATTTTACTAACTCTCTCGAGAAATTTAAAACATACATAACAGACAAAGTGACGGCTATAGGTGGCGCTGATATCCCAGAAGATGTTTTAGGTGGTCTTAATGAAGCGATAACTGAGATGACATGGAGCAATGCCACTCGTATTATTATTCATATCGGCGATGCACCACCACATGGTCGTCG